CCCCAGACGCTATAGGTCTCGATAGCCAGGCACCATCAGCCTTCTTCACCACACTTACTTATGCACACATTCGTCTTCAGCGTTTATGTGGGGTAGGTGGTCACACAATGATGGTTTTTGTTCTTTTGGTGTACAATCCTAAAAGATTTTAAGGGCAAAATTTTGAATGATGCAGAAAGCATCCAAAGAAGATGGAAATATTATACAGAGTCACTGTCCCAAAAAGAACTAATCAACATTACACCATTTTGGGAAGTAATATCTCTGAAGGAAGAATTTCAAACTGGAGTGAAAGCATTAGCCAACAAGGCTCCAGGAATTGATAGAATACCAATTGAAATGTTTCAAAAAGTTCATGAAGCACTGGAATCATTTGCTCTTCTAAACTAGGAAATTTGGAAGATAAACACTTGGCCAAATGACTGGAAGAGATCCATATTTGTACCCAATTCAAGGAAAGGTGACTCAACAATGCTTAAATTAGAGAACAATATCATTGATATCACATGCAAGTAAAATTTTGCTGAAAATCATCCAACACGGTTGCAACAGTACATCAACAGGGAACTGCCACTGGTTCAGGCCAGATTAAAAAGAGGATGTGGAAAAAAGGATATCATTACTGATGTAAGATGGATCTTGCCTGAAAACAGAGAACGCCAGAAAGTTCTTTCCTTGTGTTTTATAGACTATGACAAGGCATTTGACTGTATGGATCATAACAAATTATGGATAATTTTGAGAAGAATGTCAACTCCAGAACCTTTAATTGTGGTCTTGCAGAACTTATAGATAGATCAAGAAGCATATGTGTGAACAGAACAATGTAATTCTGCATGGTTTAAATTCAGAAAATGTGGGCGACCGACAGGATTATATTCTCTTACCATATTTAGTCAGTCTGAATGGTGAGAAAATAATCAGAGAAGCTGGATTATATGAAGTGGAATTTGGCATCAGGATTGGAGGAAGGATATTAACAACTTGCGATAAGCCGATGACACAACTCTGCTTGCTGATATTGAGGAAGACTAGAGTACTTGCTGATGAAGATCAAGTACTGCAACCTCCAGTATGGATTATGACTCAATGTACAGAAAACCAAAATCCTTCCAACAGGACAAATAGGTAGCCTAATGATAGAGAAAAGGTTGAAGTTCTCAAGGATTTTGTCTTGCTTGGATCCATCATCTGCTCTTGGAAGCAGCAGTCAAGCAATCAAACAACACATTGCATTGGTTAAATCTGCTGCACAAAAACCCTTTAGAGTATTGAGAATTAAGGAGGTTAGTTTGAAAACTAAAGTGAGTCTGACCCAAGGCATAATATTTCCCATTGCCTCATGCTTGTGAAAGTTGGACATTGAATAAAGAAGGCCAAAGAACAATTGATGCATTTGGATTGTGGTCCTGGAGAATATTGAAAGTACCATGCCATGGACTGTGCTGAAAGTACAAACCAATCTGCCTTGGAAGAAGTATGACCAGAGTGCTCCTTAGAGGCAAGGATGGCAAGGCTTCATCTTACATACTTTGACATATTGTCAGGAGAAACCAGTCCCTGGAGAAGGACATCATGCTTGGTAAAATGGAGGGACAACAAAAAAAGGGGGGGGAGGCCCTCAGTGAGATAGATTGACACAGTGGCTGAAATGATGTACTCAAGCATAGAACAATTGTGAGGATGGAATTATCATTCAATTATAATTCTCTTTGTGTGATTTTAAATGTTATTAATATTTTATTGAAATTCTTATTTTGTTTCCTGGTCTCCATTAGTTTTCAGTTTTTTCTTTGCCTCCTTTAAACATATTTAATACTAAAAAGAAAGAAAACAGATCCAGAGCTGACACATATTTTAAATTTTAGGACAAAGACATTACACCCATTACAATAACTGTGAATTAGATATCCAAGAAGCTTAGAGAAAGAGGAGATATTAAAACAAATAAATATAATCTTAAAGACAAAATGTGAGATAATCAAATTGAATAAGACAAGATTAGATATGGCAGAAGGAAAAAAAACTGATGAAAATAGAATATTGTATCCAGCCTTAAAGGAAATTGTCTTTAATCAAACAAGCTTCTCCAAAAAAAAAAAAAAAATAGAATTCCACTCTATGCAAGAACTTCTAAAGTGATCCTTTTCAGAGCAGTTGGTTGTGATAGCCAGACGCCATCTAGTTCTTTTGGTCTTAGGGCTGGGGAGACCAATGTGTGTGGTCTATTAGTCCTTCCCCCCCCTTTCACATTAATTTTTCATTTTTGTATGCAAGTCAATGTTTTTATCAGTTGTCCTACTCATGATTTCATTTAAATATATTACTAATTAAGAATTTTTTTAACAAAAAGCTCATAAATGATCGTTTTGCTTCTACCTTAGAAGATACTTGTTAAAAAGAATTTGCTTCTTTCTCTAAAATATTTTGAAGTATGATATCATTAATATATTTAAAATTGAACATTTTCTATTCATTTATGTTAAATTCACTACTTTTTACCATAACCTCGATTAAAGAAGTGTGTTCACAAATGTAGTTTTCTGTTCTTGTAACGATTAATAACCTTAGAAACCTATAGAGGCAGTTCCATTTTGCCCTATGGGAGTGCTATGAGTCGGAATCAACTTGATGGCAGTGAGTTTTAGGTTTATTCACAGTTATCTTAGTTGCCCTGGTAGCACAAATGAAGTACTCAGCCCCTAATCAAAAGGTCAGCAGTTTAGTCCACCACTGAGTCTGGGAAAAGAGACCTGAAGATTTATTCCAGTACAGATTATAGCCTAGGAAATCCTATGGGGCAGTTCTACTCTTTCCTGTATTATTACTATGAGTCAAAATTGACCCAAATCAAGCAAAATAGCAATAGCAGTTACTTTGATGAGTTGTTTATGATGCAGTCAGTTCCTAGCATTGGGTTTTTAATTTGCTTTTTTTCATATCTTATACAGTAAGCTCGCCATTATGAACTGGAACCTTGCCTTGTGTCTGCTATTTGCAGACATACACGTTTACACCTTGGGTTCGGATGCTCTTGACTATAGTTCATTTTAGGATAATTCCTAATACTTCCATATTTTCCCACTTCTTTACTAATCACATTGAATTTCCACTAATTTGTTATTTCTTACTATATTTACTATATTTATTTAAATATATTAAATAATATATTTATTTAAATATATTTACTATATTTAAACATTTACTATATTTTGTGAAACCTGTTTTAAGATTTTCTTTTGAAAGTTAACTATGCATAATATAGGTTTTGTTTTCCTTAAGTATAGATCCATAAAAAATTATAAAGTTAATGCTTTCGGCTTTTGAGAAAAATATAATAATAAGTCTTATTAAAATGCTCTTTGATATGTACTACATTTTGTGTTTTATTTTGATTTAGGATTTACTTTCCCATATGCTTCATATGGATCCACACTTGCGGTACACTACAGATCAAATATTGAAACACTCATGGATAACCCACAGAGAACAGTTGCCATGTGATCAGCCAAATAGAAATGATACATCACATATCATTAAGGTAAAACTATCAAACATACTTTAATGTGGCATGTATTATATGTCTTTCACTAATGACATTTAAATAACTTCCATTAAAAATCTTTGTTTTTTAAGGTGGATTTTTTTAGGTTGTGGTTTGTTTTTAGGTAACAGCCATGGAGTCTTCTTTTTTTAAAAAAAATTATTTTATGAAGGGCTCATATAACTCTTATCACAATCCATACATACATCAATTGTGTAAAGCACATTTGTACATTCATGGCCCTCATCATTCTCAAAGATTTGCTCTCCACTTAAACAACCATAGATTCTTTCTTATGTTTTTTTCTACTTCAAATTTAAATGTTAAAAAGAAAACTCTTTAAGATACATAATTGTTGAAATATCTGTTCAAGTATTAATTTATGAAGGGAGTATCAATGTTCTGATCAAATTTGTTTTGATTAAATATCTCATGGTAAATGTGAAAGTTTAGTTTGATTTAATTATTTCCAGAGCTTTTAATTCAATTTGTAATGTCTTATTATTTTAGGGAACAGTAGTTGCAACATATTCAGTTCTGAGTCACAAAACCTTCCAACCAGTCCTAGAACCTGTTGCTGCTTCAAACTTAGCTCAACGACGAAGTCTGAAAAAGCGAACATCAACTGGCCTATAAGATTTACAGTGGTCTTCAGACATACTGGATGAAGAGAAAATTAAATGTTGTGTCTTTTAGCCTAAATGTTTATTAAAAACATAGTCTTCAGCTACAATACTTGCATAATATGTTTAAGCCCTTTTTATTAAGAGAAGTCTGATTGGAGAAAAACAAAACAAAACACAGGTCCACGGTATTTATTTTCTGTTGTTTGGCAGTAGTGTCCAAGGGTCTAACAACTTCTTTGCACACTAACTTAAAAACTTCATTTCAAATAAAAATACTTTAATAGCTTTTGATTTCTCATAACACAATTTTGGTGAGCCATTACTAATAATCAGATGCATATATAATCCTATAATGCCAAGCAATATCAGTATTTTTAACTTAAGTTCCTCAAGGATAGACTTTTTAAAAGAGAAAACACAAAAGAGTATATAGAAGCTTGTTACTGTGCACAACCAATAGACTACATTCATTTGAATCCCTGTAGCTATTAAAATAAAGAGTAGTTCAGTTCCTGAGATATATACTTATGTGTTAATATGTGAACTCCTAATATTCTGGGTGCCAATATTTTACAGAATATAATATGTGCAGACAGACCTGTATATTTTACATAAATGGTTTCATTGAAATAGAAAATGTTAAGGCATCTGTGAATTTTATACCTAATGGAGTGTTACAGTAAAAGAGAAAATTTTTAAGTAAAGGCTTTATATAGATGTTACTATCTATTAAACAGATCATAATTAAGCCTTTGAAAAGAAAGTACATATTGTTAACACTACATCAGTATTATGTAAGTTAACGTTCAACTTAACCAATTGGATTTAACTATTATCTTTACCCTTTATAGTGAAGTACATATTTTTTTGATTTTCATGTATTTTGAATTACAGTGTATTATATTAATCAACCTTGAGTCCTAAGCAAATATAGTTGAAATTTTACTGTAGTGAATTTGTGTGATTAGCACACATGATAAAGTATAATACATTTCAGTAAAGTTAGATAATTCTATATAATCTAAATAGTCAAAGTAAACTAACATTTACAGGGAAGAAATTAATATTAAAGATCTACATAAAACATGAGCACATTTACACTCATACTTCTAAGAATATGGTCAAATTGATCTTATCATTGAACTTATGATTCAGAACCACTCTGTAGTCTGTATTGTTTTCTCTAACTTAGGGACTCTTAAGTAATCTTTTTGTGTTGTTAAACAAAATGCCATTGGTACTACAACAAATGACAGAAAGCACTTATGAATGTACACCAGAGTTTTGCTTAGTAAATATAAGTGAACTGCTTGTGTGTATTAGGTGTCCTGGTTGCTTTATGTTTTACTTCGTTTATTTCAGAGAGTTTGTTACTGAATGCTGAAGTGTTCACTTTTAGACTAGGAGATCTGTAATTTGGGTATTTAATTTTAAAATATATACATATTCTCTATAATATAAGTTACATATACTCCATGCATAAAGATCTGTTTTGGGGTGTGATGTGCAACCGTATGTATTCTTATTTTGAAGTTTTTGAAAGACACTAAGGAATATCTAATAACACGTGGAAAACATTAGTTAGAAATAATTATGTTAGTATTGTATATTGTGACTTTTAATATCCTCATTTGGTTTTTTCTTTCCTCATTTGACTTCATTACTGGAATTACTTGCATAGAGCAATTTGGATCCATATACTCTGACTAATTTAGTTTGTTTATGCTGCTATGTCTTTTTATCAAAATTAATAAGACAAATTCAGAAGTATCATTTGAAGTTGAAATTTGCAAAATGTATATCCTATTTCCATTCATGCATCTCTAGTAGTATTATTAGAGTAAGAAATTGGGAATGAAATGATCACAAAAGAATTTCTAAGCTTTCTATTATCAATGATTTCAAGAATAGATTAACTTAATTTTTATTTAACTTGCTCAGAAGTGTCATGTCATTTAGTCCTATCATAAACGTAATGTGCTCAGAATTGAGCAGTGAACAATACGAATTTTCATTACCCATTGAGAACTGACAGTGTAAAAGGTACCCAGATATGCAAGTGGATGTACCCAGTAATTGTGTGGGTGTTTTCTGCTGGAAAATTCATACATATTAACTTGATAATAGTAGCAAAAGATAACATTTTTATAAAGGAAAGCTTCAGAATATTTCTTCATATTGGTGAAGGACCCCAATTAGTGATTCCTAAGCATATATAAATTGTCTAGAAACCTGTCATCACAAACGTTTTATTTGAATGGGGGTATTTTTCCACGTGTAGTGTCTAAATCTGTAACCAGTACAAGTAAATCTTTTTCTGTAAAATTTCTAGGTTACTGTGTTTTCTAATAGATTCATGCACAGTTATTTTTAATAGATTTTCTTTATAGTTAAAGTTCTCGGTAATATTTATTGTTAGTACCATTTGGAGTTTTGAGTTTTCTGGAAAAATTAGGTTATAAACTTTTTTTCCTAAAGGGAAAGTTTCAAGTTTACTCAGACAAACTAGAAATCTTTGTCCAAAAGCACATTTTACTAAGAATAAACTCAGGAAACCATTTATAAGAAAATTGTAATATACCACTGGTGATGATAATGTTTTGAGGCAAAATGGTTACCCCTTCCATGAAGATCAAATGTTAGCCAGTTTGGTTAGATTCAGAAATGACTAAACATTTATTGCCATCGGTACTTCATCATAGTAAAATATTTTTTTCATAGCACCTGCAGTTAACTTTAAGGAGTAATGTTTAGACAACCCACAAATTTAAGAACAGACACTTGGTATTTATAATGAATGCATCTCTCCATTTAAATATGTTTTTTTAAAGAAATAATGTTAAAATAGTCTTTCGCACAGAAACTTAGACTGATTAAGTACCAAGAAGCTTCAAAAGTTTGTGGAGAAATTCCAGTATCTTTTAATTCTATTTGTTCTGTGAACTTTTTGAAGGCCCTAGGAATTTCTTGAGAGTAAGAAGCCCTTCATAAATGAAGAAAAGCAACTGCTTGCTCAGCCTTCGGTAGTCAAGAAAAGTTTAGGCAATTTGGTAATCTCTACAGTGTTCTGGCTTTCCAGCTTCCTCATGATTATCTACCGATTTCTTCATGCAGGGGCTCCTTTTAGGAGCACGATGTGCTCCTTCCCCAAATCAACTTTCATTTTCATAGCTATTTTTAGAAAAAATGAATAAGGAAGGGTACTTGAAGTTAATTTACAGTTTTCTGTCAGTGGCTAATATATAATTACTATGTTTTAAAGGGATATGTCCATCAATTTAAATTAGTTTCTAGTTGCTGGAGTTTAAGGCAATAATGCCAAAATGGAAAGAATTTTAAATTACCAGGGAAGATATTTTTAGGTTAAAAAATACCACAAAATATGGCTTAGGGTCAGGGTAAAAGATTCTTTTATGCCTGTCTCCTTCTTCTGTATTTCTCAATCCACATTTCCTCTGAAGTTCTAACTTTTTAATCAAAAAGAATTTATAAGACAAAAGAGTGGTGTGGATAAGTCAAGATCTCTGGTTGTTTTCCTATACTATATTAAGCCTGTATTTATTTGTGTTCTCATTTCTTACATTACACAATTTATAACATGGAGAGTTTTCTCCCCAGCTCTTATTTCTAGTGTATAGATAAACAAGAGCACAAGGAATACTGAATGTAAACTATCGGTAGAGTCTGCTTCTATATCCTTTCTCTAGATTTCAGGACCAATACTATATATCACAATTTTATTTCTCCTCAGCAATGCAAGTAATATTAAGTATAGATCGACCAACTGCAATTAAACTGCTTTAGAACAATTCCATATATATCATCGCTTATTTTCAACTTGTTGCCATGTGTTTCAATGTCAATGATTACTAAAATTAAAAGTAAACTAGTAATGTGCTTCCTGCCTTCCTATGTCCAGTGATTATTCAAAACATACATTATATTCTCATGGATGCACTTTTAATCTTAAAATGCAATGAAGTCCACCATATAATTTCAATAAAGTGATAATGCTTGATCACCGAAAATTCTATTTCTTGCTATACATAGGGGAATTGAACTTGAAAATAGTAAATCTTAAAAATGCGTGTATGTGAAGAAAGGCGATTAAAACAGAGCTCCAGCCTGCTTACATTTTGGTATATTAGGTAGCCTCTGTCACTTTATGTGCCAGCAGAAAACTTGAGCTAAATGCTCAAAAATAAGTATTCACATTTACAAACCTTGAACAGTACAGTTTCTTTGGGTGTCTGTTTTGCTTTTATTCTAGGTGTCTATGTGAATTACTTGACTTTTTAAAAGGTAGCATCTAATGTTATGTGTAACATTCTAGATAATGTACTCTTAGTCCATTAGTTTGTTAACACATTGTCTTAATGTGATCAGCTAGATTTTTTTTTTTAAATCTGTGAGTGGAATAGAATCAAATGGCAGTGGTTTTGGTTTTTGGGTCTATCAACTAATATTGGTCAGATAACAGTTTATTTAAATATTTTGCTTTCTATCTACATATTTGCTCCCTATAATATTGCTACCACTTACAAGAACAAAATAATTTGTTTTATGATTTTTTTAAAACACCAGGAAAGAACTTTAAATAAGCAGCCACTTAAACTGTTATACACGAAACCTTAACTATCCAATGCCAGCATGATTTGGAAGTGAGAATTTATCTTGAATTAATTTCCAAAGTACAGGAAAAAAATGTCTTTTGTGTGTTTGACTTTTCCAAATAGGAGTTATTGTTGTTAGTCATGCGTTACATAAGCTTTATGCAGAGAGAGTAGTATGCTATAGCCATATTTTTTTAAAAAATATTTTGCCAATTCTTCCCAAGCACTTCTGAATTTCTAAATTTATTTTCTGATATTAAAGTATTTGTGGCATTTTATTGCACTTCTCAAGGCAGAAATGGTGTTAAATTTTGTTTTCTTTTCTGACTATATTATGAATATATGCAATCATTTTATAAATATTTTCCTTAAAATGGATTCTTTTGGCATTAAAGTTTTCATTGTACTACATTTTCTCATTATATAAGACATAATATCATAGTGCTTTTTACAGTGTTTTTATTCCTTTACCATGATACTAAAGAAATTGCTATCATTTTGAATTTACAACATGCCAAAGAATATATAGAATTTTATTTTGTTCTTGTTAAAAGTCTATGATCAACAATTATTGAAATATGTTAATAACTGGCATTATCTGGGTACTAAATAAAAAGGCTGCAACTTTGTACACTTTACTATTGACCTTGCTTGATTATTTGTTGATACAAAACTGTTTGCTGAAAAACAATATACACCATTTACAATAGCCACCCAAAAGTTAAAATACTTAGGAATAAATCTAGCCAGAGATAGAAAAGATAGATACAAATATACATATAAAATAGTGCTACAAGAAACCAAAAGAGACACATGAATGGAAGAATGTCATGTGTTCATAGAACGATTGAATATAGTGAGAATGTCAATATTATGAAAATCATTTTATCCAAAACAATTCTAATCCAAATTCAATGCAGTTCATCAAAGAAATGGAAAAACTAATCAACTTCATAGGGAAAGGAAAGAAAACCAGATGTATAAAAACACTATTGAAAAACAGTTTCAAATAAAATAGTTTCAAAACACTATTGAAAAATAAACAAGCAGGCTTCTCACTTCCTGTTATCAAAACTTTACAGCCACAGTAATAAAAACAGCACGGTATTGGTACAATGATAGATATGTAAACCAATGGATTAGAACAGAGAACCCAGAAATATCAAGCACCTATAGAACCCTGTTGTTGTTTGTCATCCATTTTTTACCATCTTTTATTCAAGGCACTCTAAAGGATTTTTGTTTTTTGACAAAAATAGGTTTATTCTCCTGATTACTCAGCCAATACTTGGCTTTATACTTTAAAAAAAATAAAATGTTACTGTGTCTTTAGTGAAGGTTTACATAGCCAATTAGACTTTTAATTTTTGTTTTGTTTTGTTTTCTTTTTTAACATTTTATTAGGGGCTCATACAACTGT